TAAAACACCCCGGGAAATATGTACGAGCCAGGAAAGTGATAGCGCTTCCACCCGATCACTTCAACAGACTGTTGACAGATTTTGAGGGCCCACCGCAAACAATAAAAAGCGCCCAACTTGGCCCTGTGCCCCTCCCAAAAACACCCCTCCCCACCCCCATAAGCCTCGAAAGATGGCGTGGCTATTTTTGGTGTTTTTTGTTGTTTGAGTGTTCCGGTCAGGGGTTAGCCAAGAGTGCATTTTGATAAGAAAGGGGCGGTTGGTAGGAGCAAAGCGGTACTTTTGCATTAGCCGGGGGCTGGCGGGGATAACCCAATTTTTTTGTATAGTTCCAGAAATTAATGGTATTCTTAAAAGTGTATTTGCCTAAATGGCACGCCTAACACTTACAATTAGTATAAGCCAGGCCTACACTAAGCCTAAGCGAAGCCAAACCCAAGCCTGAACTAAGCGAAAATCAAGCCTAAGCTAAGCCGAAGACAAGCTTAAAGCTAAGCCTAGCTTAAGCCAGGGCCTCAAAAAAGATGCCCACCCCCCAACTTCAAATGATCCAATATTTTTTCGAAATTCCGTAAATCTGGTAACCATATTCGGAATCAGCAAATTCCATATCCGACGACACTAAAAAAAGGGAAGTCTAAGCCTAGCTACCGGCGACATCGCCCAATTCCTTACTGGGAAGCCAAGAATGGCGTGTTCGGACGCGCCCTCGTGCCAGAATTCTGTCTGATTGTCCCCGGGTTGGGTTGTCCGGAGCGGGCTGTGGATTGAGGAAGCGATTCGTCCGCGCTCAATCCGTGGTTCACGATCCCGGAAAAAGGGGGGAGGGCTTTTTTGGAGGGATGGGGGCCGAGGGCCGGTATTTACCCCTGACCACCCATCCACAACGAAACAACCAGCCCATCTCCCTTCCATCTCCCATTTCAATGTCTGTACACCGACATACAAAACAGACGGAGGGTTTTAAAGGGACCGGGAACGTATGGAAGGATGGGTGAGAGAGAGAGAGCGAAGGAGAGAGAGACACAGAGGGCGAAAGACCGAGAGAGAAACCGAGAGAGCGAGAGTTAGAGAGAGGAAGAAATGAGCGAGAGGGCGTGATTTTGGGTAAGAGGGAGTGGCAGAGAGCGAAAGAGAGGGAGAGGGAGAGAGAAAGAGCCAGAGAGAGAGAGAGAGAGAGAGAGAGAGATATTGACCGTCATACTGATGTATGAATACACCACAGCGATCTACGATCTACGATGCAAATCTCCCAATGGTAGTTTCATCAATAGTCATCGGCCATTGTGGCCACCACCAGAAACACATACTGTTTTCCAAAACGCCCGTCTCTAAAAGCGACGTCTCGCGTGGAGATGTGTCATATGCAAATATTCCGGGCAACAACCCTTCCGCCATTCAAGGGCCCTTCCCCCACTTCACACACCACCCCACCGGGGTGCCCACCATCGAATTACGCGCCCGGATACAGCATACACAATGCGAAACCCAGGATCAACGGCTAGGAGATGGCATTTTGTGGGTTAGGGAGATCTGCTGCAGCAGGTGATCATTTTTCGAAATTCGCTTTTTCGAAAAAGTTATTTGAAAACTTTAGTTTTTCGTAAACTTCGTTTTTTACGAATCTTGTTTTCGAAAAACTGAGAATCTAGAAAAATTTGCATTGCTATTTTAGACTGTTTAGGCCCGGGCCGGTTGGGACTTGGGCGCAAATTTTTCGACAATATGAGTTGTCGAAAGCCTGATTTTCGAAACTTTACTTTTTGAAAGACTGATTTTCGGAAGTATGACGTTCAAAAGGTGCCCTGAATCCGTGAAAATGTGGAGTCGAAATCCGTAAAATGTATTTTTTTTTTTTTTTTTTTTTTTTTTTTTTTTTTTTTTTTTTTTTTTTTTTTTTTTTTTTTTTTTGCTACCTTTAACAGATGGAATGAAAAATATTGTGGGGGACTTGTCGGAGCTGTCTGAAGCTCTACATGACCCAGAACAAGAACACCCACTATATACCCAACAAAAAAAAACGTAAAAATTTCGGGGATGCAACGACGACTATAGCCGTAGGTATCTATGGAGCAGAGGGCGCATGGCAAAAGGGCCGGTCCTCCGGCAGGTCGACAACGAGAATAGCGACTATATAGAGAGCAGCGTGTGTGTCACTGACTACCTGACTAGCTGACTGCCCGTTTTGGCCATAGAAATGGGTGTATTTGGGCCATGATACTAGCCACTACGGAGAAGAAAGACTGCAAGAAGGGTGGTAACGGCAAAAATAAGACAATCATGCTTCTGGCCCTCAGGATTAAAAAAATTTCGCCTGGCGAATTACTACGGTCCCCTTCCTTAGATTTCGATCCTGATTTTTGAAAAAAAAATACTGTTGAAATCATAACCTGGACAAATATATTTTGAAAACAAATGTGGAAATCCGGTGTCTATAAATAGCGAGCGCTTTTTTTGGGCGGGAAAATATGTAGATGAGCAAAAAGGCCAGACCCTGGATTTTGCACGGTTCTGGCACGCAGGTTTTCTATGAATTTCGGTAGGTAGGAAAAACGCCAAAATACCGACGGCCGAAATTCCGGCATCTGAAAGTTTAGCCATACTAAGGCCTCATACCAAGTCGATGTTCAAGTCGTAAAACAGGGTAGGGTTTTAAAGAGCATTGAGGGACCATCTCGTCGATGCGAAGCGCAGGCAAGCCTGCTGATTTTTTCAAAATACGGCCACCCCCGAGGGGTACAAGATAAATAACCGGCTGGCTTGCTTGGTTTTGCCTCCCCTTTTTGGACGATCGACACAAAGGAGACCCGGAATTTCCGAGAGCCCGCACACCTGGCCAACCCCTATTGGGAGGGCTGGATGACCACACTCCTGACAAACCACTACATCAAGACCACAATTTTTGTGTGCGATTGGAACCTCACAAAGACCATTAAGATTGATTTTAAAGGGACGGACCAGGCATGATTATTCGTCGTCGGCATCCAAAGTAAAGCTCAAAAGCTAAGCCTAAACTTAAAACTAAGCCTATGCACACGGATATGCCTAAACCCTAGGTCTCAGCCTCAGCCCAAACCTAATCTAAACCGCAGCCTAAGCCTAAGCTAGACCTAAGCTCAGTCCTAAGCATCAGCCTAAGCATCAGCCTAATAAGGACTGCTTTTTTTTTAGTCATACGCAAATAATTTCCAAAGATAGTGTATTCGATAGAGAATTTCATTCTGAGTAACGCTATAAGGTTCTTTTTTGCAGAATGGCTGTCCCCGATTTTATAAAATTAAAAAACTAAAACGGTGTTTTCTTACATCCCTCGGCGCGCATCCATGGCATGCATGGCTAGCCACCGGGACAAGGGGGCCTAGATGGCTTCCCAACCGCGATTGACGATAGCGCAGTCGGTAGTGTGGTTGTCTTTGAAACTTTTTTTGGACTTCTCTGGGAGGTTCGATTCTTCCACGTGTAATTTCTTTTGCTTTTTGAATTTTTATAGCGGTGAATGGCTTTTTGGCTTCAATTACCATGGAATCCGCTCTATAAGCAGGCACGACTATAGTGAAATCCCGGTGAACAGTGACAAGGCTCGGGCCTGGAGACTTCACTTTGATCAACTTTGAAGCAATTGCCAACTCAAAAACGCAAAAATCACATCCCTATTTAGGGAAACGCAATTGACCATAAAAAAAGCAAAAGAAATTACATTTGGAAGAATCGAACCTCCCAAAGAAGTCCAAAAAGGTTTCAAAGACAACCGCGCTACCGACTGCGCTATCGTCAATCGTGGTTGGGAAGCCATCTAGGCCCGCCTTGTCCCGGTGGCTAGCCATGCATGCCATGGATGCGCGCCGAGGGATGTAAGAAAACACCGTTTTAGCTTTTTTTAATTTTATAAAATCGGGGACAGCCATTCTGCAAAAATGAACCTTATAGCGTCACTCAGAATGAAATTTTCTATCGAATCCACTATCTTTGGAAATTATTTGCGTATGACTCAAAAAAGCACCCCTTATAAGCCTAAACCTAAGCCTAAGGCCAAGCCTAAGCCTTAGCTAAACCTAAGCCAAAGACTAATCATCAGCCTAAGCCCGAACCCTCGGTTGAAGCCTGAAACTAAGCCTAAGCATCAGCCGAAGTCGAAGCCTAAAACTAAGCCTAACTAGGGAAGTGCAAATAAAAAACCCAGCAAACCGCTTAGCAAAAATTTGGGTCTGATAGAGTCGGCGACGGGGATTCCGAAACTGCAATCAGAATTTGCTAAACGCTTAATACAAAATAGTTATGAGCATTTTAAGTTTTGCACTACCTGCTCCGCCCTCCCTTATGAGCCCCTCCCAAAGATGGGTGTCCGCCTGTCGAGTGGTGTAGTGGCTAACTAGCATGCCTCTGGGGCGGAGGGTCTCTGGTTCGAATCCCCGGTCATGCAAAAATTTTTGCTTTTTGGTCAAAGTCAACAACTTTAGACTTTTTCAAAGTTTCGAAGTCAGAAATTTAGATTTTTTAAAATTTTCTTTATTATTGACTGCGTCTAGGCCTGCCTTACGAAAAAATGGAAGTGAATTTTTTTAGTGCCCTATCCGCAAGAGTACTGACACTCCCGCCACCACTTTGCAATCAGTTTCATAAATTTAAAAATTAAGAGAACGACGTTTTCGACTTCGAAACTTTGAAAAAGTCTAAAGTTGTTGACTTTTACCAAAAAGCAAAAATTTTTGCGGGACCGGGGATTCGAACCAGAGACCCTCCGCCCCAGAGGCATGCTAGTTAGCCACTACACCACTCGACAGGCGGACACCCATCTTTGGGAGGGGCTCATAAGGGAGGGCGGAGCAGCTAGTGCAAAACTTAAAATGCTCATAACTATTTTGTATTAAGCGTTTAGCAAATTCTGATTGCAGTTTCGGAATCCCCGTCGCCGACCTTTGCTAAGCGGTTTGCTGGGTTTTTTATTTGCACTTCCCTAGTAAGTCCAGGCCTGGGTTACCCAAGCCTCAACCTCAACTAACCTCCTCCATTCAGCAACCCAAGTGCAATATCGTTGTTTGGCGGCATCCCCAGGAAAAAAGTTATTAGAGAATTTTCACGACTTGTAGAAGGGCGCGACCTTCTTTAGCATCCAAATCATGTCTCCCATCATCCACTCGCGGTCAGGGGAGGCGCGCGCACAAAAAATGACGGCTTTACGGGGAAACGGGCGCGAGAATCCATTAGCCCGCACGTATGGCACAAGTCATTGTCTTTTGGAGAACAAGGAAAGGTCGAAGGGATAGGCAGCGAAGGCAACCTGCCGGGAGCATCGAGGAACATTTGCCATCATAATGTCGAAAATCGTGATGTCGAAATTTATTTTACAAAGGGTTAGGGGATTTCCTGGCAATTTTGGCATTATGAAATTTGGACACTAAAAACGGTCAACGCTAGGAATTTCCCTCACATGTCGACTATTTCCAGCAGGAGATTTTTGCTCCCCCCCCTCTTAGCTTACATAGCTTTTGCGACGAGAGGGCGGGGACGTTAGAGTGTCATTTGTATTTGTACGTCGCCAAAGTGTAACGGAACTATACCTCGGTTTTAGGGTAAATGAAAAAGATCCCGGGCAGAGATCTCTCGTTCACTCTCTCGCTCTGTCTCTCTGTCTCTCTCTCTCTTCTCTCTCTCTGACGCAGACGCAGCTAATTACGAAATTCCCGTTGAAAAAGTACCAGTTCCTAGAAAAATCCTTAAATATCGATGGAAATAGATGAAATCAAGAGCTTTCAATCGATGGTTAAACCGTAAAAATCTGATTGGCTGCGGACCGCTATGTGGGGGGTATGGTGTATGTGGGACATTCTGTATAGTGCGTTGGTCGGATAGTAGGATAACTCACCTAGAAGATGGATCATCATGAAATAGCTAGATAGGCAAAACTGGATAGATGAATGGATATTTGGAGATACTACCCGTTCGAGTGCCTTTAAACAACTGGCAAACCCTTATCAGAGTCTCGTCTACCCTCATTCACCCCCTTGACTCCATGCAACAATAACGAATCGTGTGGAGGTGTGACAGGTAGTCGTCGTTTCCCCCACCCCATCTATCTATACCATATATGCATCGGTTACACTATGCACCCGGCAGGGCAGAGAGCGAGAGAGAGAGAGAGAGAGAGAGAGAGAGAGAGAGAGAGACAGATACCTGTTTTTTGCGGGCAACGGTTGCGGCTTCTCGGGATTCCCCCGGGCTATATAAACCGACGGAAGCACATTTTCGAGGCCATCTCTCGGTATCTCAAAGACCTCACCGTCAATAACACAAAATGCTGCACTTCATTTTCCTATTTGTATTACCGCTGGCTTTTGGGCAATCTGACGATGCTGAGAAGGAGAATGGAATTTGGCCTAGATGGGGTAGGTTCAAAAATATTCCTGGATTTCCGATGTTCGAAGTTTTGGTTAGGTTCTACGGTTCTGCGAAACGACCACAATAAGGAGAAAAACGGCCAAAGTGGACCATTTTGGCTAGTTTCACACCTTTAGAGCTTTGTAACTTTCAAATATGGTCATTACGAATTAGATTCTGAAAACCAAGTTTTGATTAGCGAAGAATTCTGGGTGGGGGGGATAACGGGGTGAAAACCATTTCTGTATTTATAAAGTTATTTCGCTATTTTGAAAACTCCATCGGATAGATCCTCGAAATGCTACTAAGAGATTTAATTTCGGCCCGAAATACCATAATTTAAAATTATTACATTGTTAGGCGAGCTTGAATTGGCACAGCCAGGTCCCTATAGAGAAAAATGGTTTCCACCCCCGTTATTTCCCCTCACCCCCGTTAAGCAACCTTTACCGAATTCTGCACAAGATAGGGTTGGCCACGTCTCGAAGCTTCATGCCCATATAAAAAAATATCCCACTTGTTAGACGCTTTTTTTCAGAGCAACGGACGATCCGCTGCACCAATTCTACGCAGGGCCTCGATTGCCATCTGGAGGCACCCGGATCAAGGGTGAGGGGGTTGATATTTTTTATTTAAGCATAATCTTTTCCTATTTTTTGTGAAATGGATATTTCTAGATCCTGAGTGACACGAACCGTTTTAAATGCCACCGCGAGCCGATGCCAAAAACCACTTGGAATGGGCTGCCAGAGTAGACCACTGCAAAAAAGCTGAATTTCCGGGGTTCAGGTCGGAGACTCGGATCGCCTGCCCAATCGGGTGTGCCCCTGAAGCTGATCTGTCCGTCATTCAAAAGACACCCTACAACAACCCGAAATGCGTCAAGTATTTTACGTATGGAAAGTATAGGTGGGTGACTTAGGTAAACCTTAGGTTAGGCATCGGCTTCGGTTTAGGCTTGGTTTAGACTCAGGCTTAGGGTTAGGCTAGGCTTACTACAGTCCGCGTCATAATGATAGGTTCACCCCATTTTAGGACAGCTTGTTAATCTAGAATAAGTTTCGGATAAAACGGGCGTTGTAATCAGTTAGGGCACAGCTCAAAACCTTCCAGGCCAGTATCCATTTGGTTAGAAAAGGCTTCTAGATTTCGAAGGAATTTTATCTCAAAAAAAGGCTTGCGTCATAAAGATAGGTTCACCCCGAGTTTTTCCGCAAAAATCATACATTCGGATTTTACTTATATTTTCAATTAAGTAGCATTGAAGTATACATGAGTTTCCTATACTTGGTTTGACTCGAAAGGTTTCAGGGAATTTTTTGCAAAAGTCGATTTTAACAAAGAAATTACTATTTTTGTGGCAATACGGGCTGGATTTAACCGGAAGCGCAAGTTCCTTCTATGGACTTGAAAGAGCAGCTCAAGACAAGCATTTTGGTATATAACAACGTCTTTGGCTTCGGCGATATTGGGGTGACACCAGGGCGCGATCCTTTTGGACAGAAACTGGAGGGCGCTGGTCCCAAAATGGGTCGGGGCGCTGGTCTAAGCACTAGTAAAATCGCAATTTTTTTCCGGCGCCTTCGGCGCCATTGCATCTTTTAAGAATCTACCGTTGACTATGTGATTTTTTTGTAATTTACCTGTGTTGTAAATTTGTTTTTGCTTGTTGTAATAAATATTTGTAATAAATATTGCGTTACTTGTTACCAACCGTGAAGCAGTCATAGGCAACTGAAGAAAAAAAATGGCAACTGAAGCAGAGGAAGATGAAGAAATTCTCTAAATTTATTCCTACAAAGCTACCTAAACTACAGACTATATCTGCGTTATATTCTTATTCTGAAAAATCCTGATGCAACACGAACCGATGCGTTGATGTGGTCAGCGACGTGAGCCGTTTCCAGTACATTATCGTACGGAGCAGATGGAACATCGAAAAATCTGAATTAAAAGTCTCAACTCTCCTTAACCAAATTATTGAAAGCTCTCAGATCAGCTTACGGGTTAGCCAAATTATGTAAGCGCTGTGTCTACTACAGACGCAAACTACAAAAATTTTTCAAAGCCGTTTGCAGTATCGGCTCGTAGTTGCTGACCCTGAACCTAACGAAAATCCGTATAAAAATCATATTTCGGTGCTCCTTTGTCGAATCGCTTCGAAACTTCTTTGGTGAGTCGAATTAGGTACCGTCTGCATTGCGTAAAAATTTGAAATTGATCCGAGCCATTTAAAATATAGCTTGGGACCAGCGACTGCAAAACCAAATTTTTCATCTATTTTGGACATAAGGCCCTATTTTGGCCCTTTTGGCCCCCTTAACCCGGCTCGATCGAGATGAAACTTCGACGCAAGATAGCTCCAAATATCTACTACCTGATACAAACATAAAATTGGAGAAAGTTTTTATTTCCAGGGAGCCTGGGACCGGGGAAAATCCAATAATTTGGACACAGAATCGAACCTTTTTCCGTTTTTTCCTCTTAACTCCGCAGCCATCCATTATTTTTTCTCGAGGCTTACGCGGGTGGTAGTCCTTTTCTTGGCGATCATTTTGATATATAAAACAAAAAAATTGGCCGGAGCTCCGCGACGCCTGGGACCAAACTTACTTTGGACAGGGCGTTACCAAAGTTGATATTGAAGGGACCGTGGCAGTCGCTGGTTCTAAAGTATACCTTAAATGGCTCGGATAAATTTGAAATTTTGATACAATGTAGACCGTACATAGTCCACCTCACCAAGGAAGTTTCAAAGCAATTCGACAATGGAGCGCCAAGAACTGATTTTTTTACTGTTTTGCTCATAGTAAATCGCCAAAAGGGGTCATGTCCAAAATAAGTTTGGTCCCAGGCGTCGCGGAGCGCCGGCCAATTTTTTTGTTTTATATATCAAAATGATCGCCAAGAAAAGGACTACCACCCGCGTAAGCCTCGCGGAAAAATAATGGATGACTGCGGAGTTAAGAGGAAAAAACGGAAAATGGTTCGATTCTGTGTCCAAAATAATGGATTTTCCCCGGTCCCAGGCTCCTTGGAAATAAAAACTTTCTCCAATTTTATGTTTGTATCAGGTAGTAGATACTTGGAGCTATCTTGCGTCGAAGTTTCATCTCGATCGAGCCGGGTTAAGGGGGCCAAAAGGGCCAAAATAGGGCCTTATGTCCAAAATAGATGAAAAATTTGGTTTTTGCAGTCGCTGGTCCCAAGCTATATTTTAAATGACTCGGATCAATTTCAAATTTTTACGCAATGCAGACGGTACCTAATCCGACTCACCAAAGAAGTTTCGAAGCGATTCGACAAAGGAGCACCGAGATATGATTTTTTTGACTGTTTTTGCCCATATTAAAGGGAGGAAAGGGGTCATGTCCAAGGTAAGTTTGGTCCCAAGCTATATCTTAAATGGCTCGGATCGATTTAAAATTTTTACCTAATGCAGACGGTACCCAATCCGACTTACCAAAGAAGTTTCGAAGCGATTCGACAAAGGAGCACCGAAATATGATTTTTATACGGATTTTCGTTAGGTTCAGGGTCAGCAACTACGAGCCGATACTGCAAACGGCTTTGAAAAATTTTTGTAGTTTGCGTCTGTAGTAGACACAGCGCTTACATAATTTGGCTAACCCGTAAGCTGATCTGAGAGCTTTCAATAATTTGGTTAAGGAGAGTTGAGACTTTTAATTCAGATTTTTCGATGTTCCATCTGCTCCGTACGATAATGTACTGAAACGGCTCACGTCGCTGACCACATCAACGCATCGGTTCGTGTTGCATCAGGATTTTTCAGAATAAGAATATAACGCAGATATAGTCTGTAGTTTAGGTAGCTTTGTAGGAATAAATTTAGAGAATTTCTTCATCTTCCTCTGCTTCAGTTGCCATTTTTTTTCTTCAGTTGCCTATGACTGCTTCACGGTTGGTAACAAGTAACGCAATATTTATTACAAATATTTATTACAACAAGCAAAAACAAATTTACAACACAGGTAAATTACAAAAAAAATCACGATTTTTTTCATTATTTTCGCAACAATTATCGTTCCAATTACGAAAAAAAATTGGCGCCGCTATCGCGGCGCTGGTCTAAACCCTAGTCAGAAATCGCCTGGCGGCGGTCCTTTTGGGAGTTCTCAAAAATTTTTCGCGCCCTGGGTGACACACACGAAGAAAGTTGGGATGGACTGCGCAAGTAAGGATTGGCGGCCTTTTAGTATGGGACCCAGTAGGTTCGATGTTTCTAGACCTGTATCTTCGTGAATACCTTAGTTCCTATAGCCGTTTATATACCAAAATGCTCGTCATTAAGTGCACTTTCCGAGATCGCCTACATACTAAAAATTGAAAACGAGTATCGCCGGATAATCCTAAAAAAGTGTGATTTCTTTGTTAAAATCGACTTTTGTAAAAAATTCCCTGAAACCTTTCTAGTCAAACCAAGTATAGGAAACTCATGTACACTTCAATGCTACTTAATTAAAAATACAAATAAAATCCGAATGTATGATTTTTGCGGAAAAACTCGGGGTGAACCTATCTTTATGACGCGGGTTCCAGGAAGCCTTTTTTTGAGATAAAATTCCTTCAAAATCTAGAAGCCTTTTCTAACCAAATGGATACTGGCCTGGAAGGTTTTGAGCTGTGCCCTAACTGATTACAACGCCCGTTTTATCCGAAACTTATTCTAGATTAACAAGCTGTCCTAAAATGGGGTGAACCTATCATTATGACGCGGACTGTATTAGTGTTAGGCTAGGCTTAGTTAGGCTTAGGCTTAATTCCCGCTGTGGCTTACTCTAAAATCCAAATTTCCAGGGATGCCCGTCTAAAGGAATGGTTCCTTTGGGTGACTGCCCCCTGCTTCCCAGAAACACTGACCACCCACTGTCGATTCAAGGATATCCCCCAGAAACCGGCCGAAGAACTGAAACACCGTCAAAAGGCCTGAATCCAAGGCTTCATCGTCTTCTATCGATAAATTATTTATTCGCCTCAACGGAGCGGCATTGTGAATATATAATCTGAAAATTTATCGAACCGTAAATGGTAATGTTTAGGACTCCCATTCCTCCTTGAGCCACAGATTCCACACGAAAAAGACGAGAATCGAGACAACGTAGATTGGTAGCGTGGCGGAACGGCCGATCAGGTCCCACCTGGAAATTTTGGAAGTTTTCAAATCATGCTTAGGCTTAGGCATGCTTAGGCGTAGACTTAGGCTTGGACTCAGGATTATGCTTAGGCTTAGACTTAGACTTAGGCTTAGGCTTGGAGGACTTTGGCCCGGGATTTGACGATGCAAACCTCGCTGCCCGAAGAGACAATTGATCGGCCTTGGCTTGAAACCCGTTTGACAGCGCTCTTTCGTACGTATTGAGCAGCGGAGTGTGGGAATTCTAAACCAGTTTCAGAAATACCGTAATCGCACCCACCTGATGGTCATTCCCATTCTGATCCACCTTACTGTCAGGCGGCCTTTGATGCGAAATCTTGTTCACCAGCCGTTTCTCATACCTTCTAAAACCACTTTATCACTAAAACTATCACAAGTTTATCACGAAAATCAATACACACATTTCGAAAACCCGGACCTCCTGCTCTCCTCCCTCACCAGCTCGTTCTGCCGTGCCAAATTCTGATACTTTTCGTGCGCATTTTGCAGGAATATTGTGATCAGGAACTAAAAGAGGAATTTATGAATCTGTAGATGCCTACATGAATTAAGCCGCCAAATAGGAGACAAAAATGCAGCAAATTCCAGGTATCGCCAGGTGTGATTGAGCTGCGGCTGGGGGCCATTTGATTCAAGGAGAACCACTGAAAATAGGGGTTTTCTCGCTCCTTCTCTCTCGCTCGCTCTCTCTCACTCGTTCGCCCTCTCTCTCGCTTTCTCTCTCTCTCTCTCGCTCTCTCACTCTCCCTCGATCGCCCTCTCTCTCGCTCTCTCTCTCTCTCTCTCCATCTCTCGCTCTCTCACACTCTCTCATCTACCCACCATAACTGTCGTAATAAAAGCGCCGGTTGATACCAGGAAAAACCGCAGTGACAGGCTCGACCTAGCCACAAAAAATGAGGCCCATATCAGGGTGACTACGGTAATCGAAGGCAACAAATAGCGAATGAGAAATGGCAGCACAGGACGACGGACATAAAACCGAGCCTCCAGACACGAGTGGCGGGCTGAAAAAGCAGGATTTCGCAGGACTTCTCGACGTCAGTCAGATTTGTCAAACGCACCACTCCTCGTCTCCGCATTCGTTATCGTATAGATGGAATCGTAGGTACAGGCGACGGGTGTGAAGTCTAAAAGTATCAAACGACACTATAGGTAATAGACCATATTCGATTGTATGGAATACCTATCAGAATCTCGAAAATCAGAATCTCGGGATTTTCAGAATCTCGAATTTTGAGAATCTCGGATTTTCAGAATCTCGAATTTTCAGCTTCTCGAATTTTCAGAATCTCGAAATATGCCTCTGCTGGATTCAGGGCGTAGGCGTGCAATTTCCGGAGCCTTTAATGCTGATTTCAACCATGGAAATTTGGAGATTCTAAAAAAATGGGGATTCTGAAAATTTGAGATTATGAAAATTCGAGATCCTCAAATTACTCAGAAAGCTACCTGTAATCTCGGCTCCAGAAGCGGTACGATACCGCGGATGCGAGGTTCGGACTGGCTTGCTTGTTCGGGCCCATTGCAGGGCCAGCTCGGCGGACGAGTGTCGAGCTGAAAAAAAGGTAAGATATACCATGAAATATACATTGTTTTCGGGGCATGGGAGCGGTCGCGTCGCGGCGAGGTGGCTATTTGCCAGGAATCAACGCTGACTGAGGTGCCGCTTTAAGGATTTCAAAATTTCGACATATTTTCTGGAATCCTCTACCGATTTTAAGGATTTGATGCGCTGAGGAATCACGAAGGTCGTAGAATGGCGCGCCTGATAGATCAAATTTGACAGACAGTCAGATTACGGCATGAAATCTTTTTCATGCCGTGCTCAAAAAAATCGATTTTGCCTCAAATTTTCTCAAATATTTGATCTATTTTTTTGCAAAAAAAAATCCATTTGTCAAGACTTTAGGCAGTAAGCCTTTTGTGTTTTCTTGACAGATATTTGCGATCCCCGAGCCCCCGTTTAAAAATCGCTTCCCGGAAATGTTTCAGGGTTCCTTAGCGTGTGCCCTAGTGGCAACTGTTGTTCCTCACCGACTAAAAAAAAGACAAAAAACAGGTTGATGGCCAGTGGGTGGCAGTTCCAAAGAGGAAAACGAGCTCGAAAAAGATGTAAGCAAAAAGTGAGACTGACGGGAAATGACTCGAATTGAGCAGTGCTGCCGTTCGAACGGGAATTGCCCCGACGGCAGGTGGCAGATCGACCGGACACGGGCTCTAAAAAAAGCTTTCCACTCTATATTTAATAAAGTCTGAAAAAACGGGGAAGCTAGCATTGGGTATTCAAGGATTTTCAAGCTGAACCCACCTTCGCTTGCTGCTCAAAATATCGCCAAAAGATTTGACGACCCAGCGAAGGTCGCTGAGCATCTAAAATGAAAATCAACGGTGAGTTTGTTACGTAAAAATGAGAGCTTCGGGAGATTATGATATAGGTAAATTATAAAGACTCTAGAGCAGTTTATACACAATTTTTTATACTATTTAAAAACGATAAAAAAGACTGAAATTTCGGTAAGACTCCAGATACCCCCCCCAGCCGGCCCAAAACCTCTGTATCTCGGCTCCCTGTTGATCTACAGGTGTGTAAAGTATACCAAAATGTTCGTCTCGCTCTGACGAGTATTTTGGTATACTTGACACTCCTGTAGATAAATAGGGAACCCAGGTACAAAAGTTGGGGGCCGGCTGAGTGGGTATCTGGAGTTCAGCCGAAATTTCTGTTAAAGCATGCAAAAAAAAATCGAATTTTCAGCCAAATTCCAGATTTTCGATAAATCCCAAAATTTTCTGATGGGTTTACCGCCGCAAATATGTTTAAATTTTTTCAAAAACTCGTTTGCGAAATACACAAAAAGCCTAAGAAACTTTTAGCTACTCACCTGTACTTTGTACGCATCAAAGGCGCAATCGACAAAAGGATGCGGCTCGTTCTGCGCCTCGATCGTCGCCAGTTCAAGCGATTTTGCATTCGGGCTATCCGAGGCTAATAACAGCTCCACGGTACTTTCAAATTCCTAAAAATGGTATGATTCGGATTCTCCAAAAAACAACTACAGGGCGCACAAAAAATGTTCCCAACTTTGGGCTCTTATAACTTCTGATAACGGGATAATTGACCATGCGTTACCATGGCATAGAGCTTAATATGTCAGGAAAGAGCAAAAAAAAACTAAACTTAATTTTTGCGGATTTCGGCGACGTATCAATGCAAATGACACCCGAATAATGTGCGTTCCGGAAAACGTGCGTTGCCTTTCCAGGCGTTCCAGTGTTGTTCCAGTGTTCAATAAATCTAATATTTTGCCTGAACATAGGTACGCCTGGCAGATCATTACACCCTAAAATTCACAGCGATCTCGCCACTAGAACGCCGGAAAATGGCCACGCACGTTTTTCCGGAACGCACATGATTCGGGTGTCATTTGTATTGTTACGGCGTCGAAAATCGCCAAAAATCAAGGTGAGTTTTTTGCTCTTTCCTGACACATTTGAGCTATCTGGCATCGTTAGCGCATGGTCGTTTATTCCTCTATCAAAAGTTATAAGAGCCCAAGGTTGGAAACAGGACAGCTTTTCCATTAACAAAATGCGTACCCCAGTCTGCCAGTCGAATTCGTGGATGTCCTCGATAAGTAACGTGGCATAAAGGGCAATCGGTTTGTTGTCTGAAATATAAAAAAATATTGTAAGAGTTTACTTCACCCTCCCTCCCCCCCATAGCCGTAGGTCTCAAAGTTTTCGGTATTTTCGTTATTTTTGTCGGGTTTTTTGCAACACAATTCGATAGAGCGTCAAAAAATATACGAAGCGTTTTAATTTGAGCCTATAATAATGTAAAGTAAAAAAGTTCGGGCCAAAAACTTCGGGCTGGGGTAAAGTAACGCTTAGCCAAAGATATTAAACGATTTACGGCTACTTTCCAGGCATTTTTACTGAATTTTGTTTATTCAAAAACCCACCGAGTGTCACCGCCGATTTAGCAAATGTTAGATAGAAATATAACGTAAATAAAATGCGCATGGGCTGAAAAATAAATCTACAACAAGTAAAAGCTCACGAATAACGAAGCGTGAAGCGATAAGGAAGCGTGAAAAGAGGGTGAAAAAAGGGTAAAATTTACCGCTTTAAAGTATAAAGTCATAGCAGCTCTTTGCCGCTTGTTTGCCCGGAAATATTTTGGAACGCCCGCTCTTTTCGAGGGGCCGGAAACACGCAAAAATTGCCAAGCTCTGAGAGATGTCTGATCAGGTAAAGTGCGGGGAATTACGGGAAACACCTCCAAGTTTTCGTCGGAGATTTTAGGGATTTACATTTCATTCAGCCCAGAGTTGGAGTTTGATCGAGATTTCGGATTAAATTAATGAATCCCGGTGGTACAATCGATTTTTAACAACAATTTTTCGCATAGTATCTGATGGTAAGACATATTAATGGAGCAGGTATTTAAGGGATGGGAACGACGTAAATTTCCTAAGGATTTTTCCGTGGAGGATATAGATTCCCATTCAAATCGACGCCCGACTAACGCTGGACTGTTTCTTACTGGTTAGTTAGGATCGTCGTTGAAACTGGGTGATTTTGAGCGTTTCTCGGTCTTATCACGCCCAGAACTTTCGGGAAATGGCGATTCCGAAGGTTTGGTAAACATATTCGGAATCAGCGCAAAATTTTGCACAAAATAGGCTTTGTTCAGACTTGAAACCCCGATGACCCTCGCAAACGTCTGCTTGTAAGCATAACCCCCGAAATTTCAAGCTCCGAAAAAACCTTGGGATTAAAATACAATACCCAAATTTAGCCAAAAATCTGCGAGAAGCTGGGTGATAGGCGAGAATCCGTGTTTTCCGGAAGAGTCGAAGCAGCCCATCAAAAATGGGCGAGTCTCCCCCGTCCCGGTGTGTGTCCTCCTGGGGCCCATCCCCGGCCTCACCTCACCTCATGCTCCCCCGAAATTGTAAAGGGGAGGCCCGGGACTCGGCAGAGAATTCACGGATCACCAGAGCCAGCGATGTGGGTTGTGTTGATGGGGCAGAGAAGGGTCAGCAGTACAGGGTGGCCCAAAAAAAAAACAACAGGTTTGGGCTCGATTATCTCGAGAACCTTAATGAATTCATGGTGGGTTGATGGCTGAAAACCATTTTCTCGGCCTGGAAAAGAAATAAAACACAACTTGATTTTTTCGATTTTTGAGTACGCAACTGTACTATTGACGCTGGTTACGACCGAAAATTGTGCGTTCTTGAACGGGAGGTGGGAGAATTCTGATTTTTGGCCTAAAAATAGCTGATGTTTGTTGAAATGTAATGGCAAAATCTTAGAATTTATCGAGGTCAATTTCATTTTTTAGAAGTAATACAAATTTCACTATTTTGCATCTTTTTACGTTTTAATTCGCAACTCTCTTAAAATACGCTGCCCATGGCTGATCTTTTGCAGATGGTGTCTCCAAATGATAATCCTTAGCACAACACCAAATTTTACCCGATTCTATGGTATTTTAATATTGCTTGCTAAAACGTGCCCCAGAGGGATACTGTAGTTCTGGTTTTTCGCGTTTTTCTTTTTATCGTATGCTGCGATTTTGCTTAAAATTTTTCCATTGGTAAACACCAGTAAGGGTCACCTATTGGCCAAAGATCGTGGAGTTCTAGCCATATACCTTCCCAAAATATGCAAAAAACTTATTTTTGAATTTAGCCACGGAAATTTCTAAATACTTCGATGCATCGGACTAAAAACTACTATTATTTGTTTTTCCAAAAGATCGAAACGTTTCTATGGTGAAAAGAACGAGAAAACGACGATTTTCTGTTTTCTACCGTAACCCGCCTAGAGCGCGTTTTAGCATGCCAAGACAAAATTCCATAAAATGCCAATTTTTCTATTCTAGACTGTTCTCTGGGTGAATGTAAAAGCACCTACAAAAAATTACTTGATTCCTTTGGCAAATGACAAAGTTATGAAGGAAAGAGGAAAACTCTCCTCGGGGCCCCATTTTGGACCGGATGCCCCCGGCCGAAAATCGAATTTTTGAAAATGAAAAAATCACCGGAGTTTCGTGGATACAATTAAAGCACGTATTGAACTGTGCATGCCAATAGAATTCTGGAATGATCTGGCTGAAGTGAATGGTTTATTTTGATTTAAAACCCGAAAACAACGCTTTTGAAAAGTCGACTTTGGGGAGCTCTTCTAAATTCGTTTGCCATGAAAAGGCTTTGTATTTGCATGGGTTCTAGTTGACTACCCGAGCTGAGTTTATGCCAGAAAAGTCGGGGCTACTAAACCCTCGAGAATTTTTTTACGTCGCCTCGAATTCGGGTATATTCGGGCTCTTAATGAATTACTTTTGAGAGATTGGATGGCCCAATAAATTTGTAAATATAATTTTAGAATGCGCCAATTAAGTAATATCAAATAAAATTATGACAATAATTCTAGCCGTGCAACTGAATTTTATAGATTGGCACCAAGGTCTGCGAAATAGCACGAACCAACCGTTTGGGAGGCGCTAAAAAGCAGCCTTCCAAATGGGTACGGTAGCTAGAAATTGTCTACGTGATAGATGGACCCCAGTCCTACACAACTAAGCAAAGCAAACACGGAAATTCTATCTGCAATTTTAGAAATATGTTTCCAAAGTTCAGTTTCGTGACCTCGAAAAAATCCATGACCAGGGGGTCGTCGAAAAACTCAAAAATCCGCGGATCTGAAAAAAATTTTTGATATTGTTGCGGGATTGTATCGAGCTTATAGACATGCTAAAACAGCTTCTTTTGAGGTTTCCACCATAGGATTTTGTAATATTCGAATTTTACGAAATTTCCCCATATTAAATTTGAGCACGCTATAACTTGCCAACCTGACCTTCAAAAATTCCAAAATTTTGCATGTATCTATCTAATGCCTACAAGATTTTACACAGCAAAAATTAGAAATCCCCTGCCACAGGCGGCTGAGAAAAATACAAATTAAACTTCCCCGAACGCACAGTTTTCGGGTGTCATTTGTATTGATACGTCGCCAAAAATCGAAAAAATAAAGTTGTGTTTAATTTCTTTTCCAGGCCGAGAAAATGGTTTTCAGCCATCAACCCACCATGAATTCATTAAGGTTCTCGAGATAAACGCGCCCAAACCTGTTGTTTTTTTTTTTGGGCCACCCTGTAGAGGGATGAGTAGCGAGTAGAGAAAAAGCAGAAAAAGGCAAAAGATGTGTTTCACCGGAAATGAAGAAAACGCGGTACTGGACTGTTGGCAGGGGGACAACTAACCTTTGTTTTTCCGTCTATACCAACCTGTTAATACTGAATACATATTTTATATTTATATTATTTATATTTTATTTATATTTATATTATTTATACA